CATTGTAGTAAAATTCTACTACCAATCCTTAATCACCTCAAACGAAATAGGGTAAATACATTTCATATTACTGATTTACTGGTAGTCTCAAAACTCTGCTTAAATAAGAAAAATAATGATATAGATGTGCATATGCTTCAAAAACATCAATAGATCTTGAATAATAACGTTAAGCACTCAAATTAATCTAATTTAATTTTTCCAAAATAAAATAACTCGGTCTAATTGTTCACCATTCAGGATTGAATGCGGTTTCGACCTCATCTCGGTCTAAGCAGCGCAGTCAACGAGACTAGGAACTTCAGCATAAAGGATGAGAACTAGGTGTTCTGCTTTTGTTGATCTTTTGGTATCAATTTTTTTGTAAATTCCTTGATATATACATCGTCATTTAAAGAAACCTGATAAATAGTGTGGATTAGAAAAGGAAAGAGTCAACTATAATTTTACGTATTGCCTGGGCGGACTTGGAGATTCAACGAAGATATAAAAAAGAAGCATATGAATTAAGTGACATCAAATGCTATGCAGGAAAATGGATGCGTAAATATAAGAAATGGTGGAACACATCGCACAGACTAGACACGAGATCAATTGGAAGACAACAGAAATAAAGGCCTCACATAGAAGATTGTGGAGGCCATTGACATCCTTGGGGAAAAAATTATAGAAAAAGAGATTCGAAGAAGGCAGAACTAGCGATAACTATGTCCATTGCCTAATCAAGCTCGGAGAAGACAAGGGAAAAGGAGACACATGGATCAAGGATTTACTGTAACCAGAGGAAAAGGGATCGCAAGGAAGAAGAGGGTAAGGAAGTTCCGGAAATAAAGCAAAGGCGTTCTCGGTGAGTGTAGTCTGCTCGAAGAAACAGCTACAGCTTTGTGGGCCTGATGATCAGGTGATTAGGGAGAAATATAATCAAAATCGCCACATAAATTCGGCCTTATAAGCAAGTCGACTAGAAATCCATTTGAGAGGAAGCGGGAAACCAGAGATATAAGTGCACAGCTCGCTCAGGGTATACGGGTTTAATGAAGATGACGCGTGAAGGCAATGCCTAATGTCAGCAAGCATGGGAATCAGAGCCTAGGCGCTATTCAGGCAAGGTGATATAGTACGTGCTACTGGAGGGTTGAGAAACAGTGTCTCAAATAAAAAGTATATTGGGGCTGGAATAGAATGAAATCTGTCGACCAGAAAGATAAGAAACGGATCTACGGACCCATGAGGCAAATTCGGACAGGAGGCCTGAGTCGGATCAGTCACCCGAAAGGGAGGGGAGTAAGGCAAACAACAGGTGTGATGACGCCACGGTAAATTCGCCAAAAGGACACACCTCTTAGGGAATGGAATATATACAAGTCAGAAATTATGATGGGGCGAGAGTGAGACAAGAGGATAGGTAGTAGATTTAGGGGTCAGGACAAAAGGATAGCATAACCGTTTCGGCAAAGGTCGTCCAAAGGACTCTTTGACGAGTTGTAACTTGGTGCTGAGAATGGCAAAGCTCATTGGCGACGCAGGCGAAACGTCTGAGAATGTACCAAGTCCATGGGCCGACGCCTGGAAATACGATAACTACTAGGGCAGAGGACTTCGGACAAGGTGAGTCAAACCAAGCCGGCTTGACAACACGAAGAAGCTGCGAAAACGAGGTCAGACCACATCTATACATCGAAAAGAGACACACCAAAATATATGCCACAACATTTTGGTCTTGGTATCTAAGGCTAAGTAAAGTTAATTGACGTCTTGAAGCCTATTAATTCCATTGAGAAATTCTACTATTAGTCTCAGTAGTATTCACCCCTATTAGGAAAATATGAGTCAGCAAATCTAGCATAAATTAGGAAGTATGTTTCCTTTGTGTTTCGTTACTATAGTAAATAGGCCCAAATTCATGAAATAAAATAAACTTGTGAAAAAAAGAGAATGACCGAGAGAGCACGTTTATTATATTCCAGACAATTAAGATTGGTTTAGTTAAAGGTAACCAAAAGAGGACACTCAAGGTATGTGTGCCGATATGAATGATGTGAATTGTGCATGCATTCATACATATGAAAATGTGAGTAAAGATCAAAGGCAAGAGAGTAATAGAAACTTTAAGACAAAGTTTGTGAATTTAGACAGATCAATCGAGCTCGTATAAACGACAATAAATAGTAACAGAGAATAGGAAAAGAAAGATGAAGTCAGTAAACATGTAAATAAATAAGCATAACGAGTAGCAAAAAGACAAGGAAAAATGAAAACAAAGATCATTAGAAGAAATCAGGATATTCATCCTTGGTGAAGCAAAACCATTTTGTATCCACATATGTTTGATGGAGATATGAGGCTAAAGCTAAAGAGTAACACGCCTAGAAATCCTGACACTCGCGTAAGCCATCGATAGTATGGGCGCCAGAAATAAGACTAACAAGATAGAAGGGTAAATTGATCGATGGGTCGATGGAATGAGGTATGAGATAAACTAAATTCAATGAGTAAAAAGTAGTTCAGAGAATGATGATAGAGAAACCACACAAGGAAAGGAAAATATCCAGAAAGGGGCTTCATAATAAGTCAGAATAGATAGAAGAAAATGTGTCAAGTATAGCTCTATAATTTAGTAAAAAGGGAGAGCTAGAGGTGGGAAAATGTAAGCGCATCTATTCACCCAAATACATATATATACATAAATAAAATCTTTGACAGTAAAGTAAATAATTATCAGATCCAAAAGTGTCTTAAGTAAAACCACCAAATGTTTGGCTTGAATAAGCTTAAGCTTCAATCTAATATTAATAGTCACAATACCAAATAAGAGATTTTCGGTAACGCCTTTCAAGAGTAAATGCAGTGCAAATAGAATCCTCAGAAAAATAAAATGTAGAAGAGAACGAAAGGGTGAACTATTATATATATATATATATATATATGTATATATATAATTAAAAAATGCGACCACAATGGCAAAAGCTCGAAGAAAAATAGAAGTGTGTACTTTTAATAAGGCTAGCTTTGGATAATCAAAAGAATAATGGATGAATATGGCGATACTTAGTAGCCAAAGTGTTTGTATGCTTTCATGCAAATAATAAATTTCTTTCACAATAAGTTTAGAAAAAAAACTTTCACAATTTTGCCAAGAGATAGAAAAACGGATCTGGGGTAGAAGAGATGATTAGAGGGCGTGTAGGCAGGAATCCTCATTTCCGTTAGACAAGCTTACACTAGTTTTGGTCCAAGTTATCAAAGAGAATGTGTTAGATAATTTAGGATACAATCGTGGACAGCCAGACGCAACGGTGTCGAAGGTAGCGGCGGCAAAGTGAGAGTTCAACCCACGCAAATGACTTTATATGAACCCACATATATGGAGAGGATAGGGAACAAAGGTTAAAAGGGCAAGTGAAATGGATGAACAAGTTATGATTAAGAGAACATAGAGAAATAAAGCTGTCTGAAGACCAAGCAAAGCTGTCAAACTACCCTGAGCAAACTCGAGGGCATAAATAGATAGTGATTCATCTGGAAGTCAAAAAATTTACCTCCGCTCCCTTCGGACTGTGTAAGCTAATCGTATCCATGTCAGGTGGCCTAGAATCCATTTGGCCAAAATGTAATTCGCGTATGGAGGTAGATCCTGCCGGCCCCATATTGCTAACATCGGAACAAGAAGGCTTGGAAGCAAGGTCGATAATACGATTGTCTGACACGACAAATGGAGTGATAGTAGTAGTGGTTAGAATTGAAGGTACTGTCCCTCCCATAATTGGGGATGAGAAGGGTGGAGTGTCAGAGAAGGGAAAAGAAGCCATGGAGACTGCCCGGTTAGTGACTTGATTAAGTGGGGTCTGGGAAGGAGGAGAATAGGAAGACGAAGAGGGAGAAGTGGGAATAGAAGAAATAATAGTGGCAGCGCAGGACGTAGAAAGGCCCTGAGGAAGGGAAGGATGTGAGGAGACCAGGCTTTTGACTTGGTGTAGCTGTGAATTTTTGGACTTGTCGCCTGAGCTAATATTAAACTCAGAAAGGTGAGCAGAGGAGGTATTGTCAACATCAGAAAAAGAAAAGTCGTCTGAAGACATTCCTACGCCGATATCGGGGTTAGGAAGACAGATAGTTGAGTTAGTTGAGGCTGTCGCACTCGAAACATCTGCAGATAAACCGTCAATCTTTACCGAGGCGGAAAGTTCCAGATTCGGACCTTTGGGATTGTTATTGGCTAGTTGTAGGCCAGGGGATAGCTGATTCGAGAATCCAGAAGAAAGTGAGACGTTGGGCGAAGTACACTCGGGCAGTTTAACTGCACAAGACGACGCTATACTCACTGCACACCTGTTGGATCCAGTAAGGCTAGTAAATATAGTGGCAGATTCGTTGGTTAAATAAGAAGTGGTCGGAACCCCAGGTGAGAGTATATGACAGGACTCTGTCTTAAAATCCCTTGACCCAGGAATAGAAAGAACCTCGTGAGACCCAGGCTCGAGTATTCCAGGTAGAGTTGACTCTGTGGCGGGCTTATGCTTATCGGAGTCATTGGAGCAAGATCCTGATGCAGGAAAACAAATTGAGCCATGGGACGGCGCCACAGTTGGCGAAAGTGAAGAGAACAGATCCCGGGACTCATGACTCTCTTCAAGAAGAGGTTCCGATGAAAATGTAGATATCCTACCCATTTGTTGTTGATGCTGATATTGTAGATTTGCTTGCTGGTGGTGATGATAATAGTGAAGATTTGCTTTGGGGGTGGCCTGATTGGGCAATAAATTAAGGCCTACTTGCCCAGAACGTAAAAAACCGGGATCATCAAATGATAACGAGCCCGAAAAATCATCGTTTATCAAGCCCGAAACATTGGGTGATCCTGGGCTAGGCGAGTGGGCTGTCTGCGGCAGCAGCATGAGGTAATCTGAATTCTTGAGACCTGTAGATGAAGGCATAACTAAGGCGTCATTGACACTGGTACTAGAAGAAGCTTTATAATCGGAGAAGGTAGAGGTGGATGTAAAAAGAGAATCAGAACCAGCATCGATTCCGACGCGAGCATTGCCCACGAGAGGTCTGTTTCCGATATTGGGAACAGGTTGTCCAGAGAAACTGTTATTAGTAGACCGAATAGCAAATGATAAGGCGGGAGAAAGAGATGTATTGCAGGTCAATGAGTTGACTGTCTGGCCTGCTAGGCGGTATTGTTGGTGATCTTGCTGTTGAGAGTGAAGTAGATGTGTCTGTGGCTGGACTTGCTGGAGTAGATTGTGAGCTGTCTGTTGAAGGAAGGGCTGTTGATGCAAGTGAGTCTGCAGGCCAGCTAATACGTTGGGGTCAGAAGCAACGAAAGTTAATTCCTCGTTAGAATTTTCGCTAATAAATTCAGGCGATATAAAACCGCTACCGCTAGCATTACCAAAAGGACAATAATAGGCAAGAGGATCGGGGGTGAGAGATGCTTCTGTTAGACGAACCGACCCAGTTGCATGATAAGACTGATTACCAGACCGCATGCCACCATTGGGAAGACAAGGAAGATTGGATATGCCCGTTCCTCTATTAGTTCCTTTGCCAGAAGCTAAGCTGTAAGTACAGCCAAGATTGTCATTGAAAGATGTGACGTCGGTTCTGATAGGATGCAAGCTATTCGTAATGCTTGGAGGGAATCCGAGTGTGGTGGAGATGCTGCTTAAAGGTGCGCTAATCGCGGTAATAGAATTCGATGTACAGATGTTGATGGCGGTCCCAATGCTTGCCGCGTTGGCATTAGTGCTGTCGCTGATAGTGGTGGCAGCAGTGGTTGCTGTGGAATAAGTCAAGCCCTGAGAATGATTGAAGAACTTGACATATTCGCACAAGTGAGGTGTAAGTAGATCAAGCCTCGAATTTAAATCGACGATCTGGTACTCCTTGTGAGTAAGAGTGGCTGAATATAAAGCAAGAGAAATAATCAGTGTAATCAAGAACGAAGTAAAATTGACAGATGAGAATAGTTTGGAGTAGATAAACGCAAAAAAAGGTGTAAATGTGATAACCAAGAGACCACATGCTATCTGAAATGTGAGCTATGCACAACTCACTGGCAGAAATTATGTAGCAATGCTGTGCAGCCGAGTAAAGAGATAAGAGATAAATTAAAATCTCAGAAAATAAATGTGAGGAAGGCGAAAAATGATTTTCTAAGGCTAAAAAGACGTGTTCTTAGGTAAACATCTATATGAATATGAAATTTAAATCAAAACCATTAGCAAAGAATTTATTTAATATTAATTTTTAATTGGCCGGCCAAAAGCTAATCAAAAAGGGATGCAACCATGATCAAGCGAGGAAAAGGATTGGCTCAGCAGTGATAGCTACGCGGCGTGAAGGGCAGGAATTATCACGCAGACTGTTTATAGGGTCAGAACAAATTTCCACCGAGATTAAAGAGCGAAATAAAATAAAATCCAGATTTTTTATTGATGATGATGAATTATTCGTGGTAGTCGACTTTCACTGAAGGAAATATAATGCATTATTAACCGTGTATACTATTATATTTAGCCAAATATAAAAATTCATAAAATAAAAGAACTCAGAGTGTAAATTACTCGTGCATACTTTATAAATATGAATATAGGAAAGGTTTCCAAGGCTCTCTTAATTAATCTATTTAGATTTAAATGACGAGTGGAGTGATTCATAAATTGACCTCACAGAAGCTGAAGGGGGGTTGAGTTGTGACTGTAGACTGGAGTGAATTAGGTCTGCGAGCACCGTCCCGCGAACACGATGAATGCATGCTGAGCTTTCGTTTGTAAATTAGCATACATCATAAGTGTGAAAAAATACTTCAAGAAATTACACCAAGCTCTAGGAAAAAAAATTGCCAGTTGCAGCCATACCTGATTCCTACAGCCTGACTTTATCCACTTAATAAGGTATCTCACTATTTTGTTGGGTATTTCATGTTTTCTTCAAACGCTTGAACATAACTGAGGTGGGTGGATAACACAAATGTGACTCCAGAAGGCTAAGAGTTCTAAAATAGTTTGTTTGTCAAAATGACTACTACAAGGATAGCAAATACACAAATGTGCTAATAATGACAATTATTTTGAATGAGCCGTAGCAACTTTCTTCGAAAACCTGCTTCCCTTCATATCCAAGAAAAACATATGGATAATAAACTTTTTGAGATTCATCACTTTGTTTAAATACTGAGATTTAATGCCGATGCAAATAAAACATGTTTGTTTTCTTAAGATTATGTATATCACGTAAATCAA